GTGCGTTTAGGTAGGTCCAAAGCTTCTAAGGAGTCTGAGGTTATCTGCCTACGTACTGTACACTGTATGGTGGTGTACTTCCATCCCCACCAGAAACAGAGCAGTCCAAGCTATGACCAACCTTGTTAGTGCTCCAGGAGCCAAGTGCATTTCTTCAGCCTTTTTTCCAATGTAAAGAAAAGGAAGTATGCATTAAGGAAAAAAAATCCTTACATATACGTTCGTATCAGCCATGTTAATCATCCGGGACACCACTGAGGACCTTAGGCACAGAAGTGCTTTGCATATAGCATGGGGACTAATCTGTCCCCACAGCACACATGCTGTGGCATCCTGACCTAGAGGACACATGCAAGACCAGGGACAATGTAACGCCATTTCCCTCCTCTCCCATCGGCACCCTTCCAGCCCACTCTCATACTGGTAATCCTCTCCCCTGTCCTCTGCCTCCTCCTGTGCAATGTGCCTTCACTGAAGAAAAGAAAGAAATATGACGGAAAAAATATTGAAGGAAATCTGGAAATCCAGATGTCTCAGTATCACAGAGACACAGTCCAAATAGTGTCCTTTATAGCTTGTTATGAAGAGCTTTGGAGTGACTGAAAGCTCTGACCCTTAGCCAGCCATTTTACCTGCTCTCACCTACTTCTCATAGAGGTGAAGTCTGGAGCAGCTGCTGATTTTCATTTTTAAGTCTTGGGTTTTGAGCTATTAATAAGCCTGGAATATAACCACATGTTCTCTGAATTATGTAACAGATGTTAAATTCCCCAAGATGAAGAGGTGTCTGTCTGATGGAAGAAGTGATGTGAGGACCTTTCTTTTTCCTTTGAGCAAGGTTTCGTCTCTTATGTAGGTTATCTGCCAGTGGAGGTAAAAAGAAAGTTAGTGGCCACCCGTACTTACTTACACAACCCCACTGGTCCCCCTTATTCACTTTGCTTATGCATTTCTTGCCTTTCTCCAGCATCGTATTTTTAAGACAGTGCCATCCAAAATGAAGTCCCATTGAAAGAATGTGTTGTGATGAAGAGCTGTTGAATGAGTCACTGTGCTCATGTTGGCAAAGTGGGCTGCAAAGCAGGCCAGGTTCTTACGTTTGGCATGAGAACGTGAAAAGCAAAAGAGGAAAGTAAACTTTGGTCCAGGAGCTCTGCGGTACTTGGCCAGCCAATGGGACTGGTTATGCTTTTCCTCTTAACCTTTTCAGTGATGCAGCTGCCACAGAGCTGAGGTGTTTTTGCATTGGGTTCATGGCTTCATTTGGGTAGTGGGAGATGGGCTGAAGGTAAATGTAGAGGATGTGTACTATGTTATTTCCACCTCTGCCTCTTTATTTTTTTGATGAGTATTTTTTTTTAAGATTCTCTTTTCTTGGTTGTTTTCAGTCCTACAAGCCAAAAAATTGTAGAAAAAATTAGGCTAGGAGGGATCCATGGAGCCTCTAGTCCAACCCCTGCCCAGAGCAGGGCTAGTGCCAAAGCCAGATCAGGTTGCTTAGGGCCTTCTCCAGACCAAGCACGGAGATCCCTCCACCTTTCTGGGCCCTGTCCCAGAGCTGCATCACCTTCAGGGAATTTCTTTCTTATGTCTGGTTGGGATTTCCCTTGCTGCTTGTTTTGTTGCTCCTTGTTCTTTCCCTTTGCACTTCTGGGAAGAGTCTGGCTTAGCTGCCTCTACCGTTCCTCTTTAGGCAGCTGAAGAACACAACTGGATTTCTCTTCCCTTCTCCAGGTTGGACAAACACAGCTTCCTCAGCCTCTCTTCATACATGATGTACTAAAGCTGCATCTTGGTGACCCACCATTGGGCTTGCTCCAATATGTTGACGTTTCACTCTGGAGGCCCAAAACTGGCCCTAGTACTCCAGCTGTGCTGAGTCAAGGGGAGCCATCACTTCCCTCTGTCCATGGACTATGCTCTTGTTAATGCAGCCCAGCATTGCCGGAGATTGTTGGGAAGGACTAAGGGAAACTTCCATAGCTCTGGAGTAGTGTGCCCATCTCTGAGTATGTACTCACAGTCCCTTTCATGAGGACATACACCTTTTCTTCACGTGGATTGTTAGATATTTGACTAATGTTGACAAGAATTAAAATAAATAACTTTAAAGCAGCTTAAAATACAATTTTCTTCTCCCTCTTAGGTGGCGTCTTTCTGTTCCGTGTCACACTATATAAGTGTACCTATTTCTAATCTTAAAACAAGCAGGAAAGGGTAACATTAATTTTCTTGCGGTATCCTATATGCATGTAAGGGGAAGGGAGTTGGTGGAAGGCCACTGTTACCAGAAGCAGAACTCATGTCCCTACTGGTTCTCACGTCATTCCTGTCCCAGACCAAGCACCCTCAGCTCTGCATGGAGAAAGGTCCTCAGCAACTCAGGATGGCATTTAACCAGGACTTGAATAGCTCTTTTCCTAGGATCCCTGTTTATACCTCTTGATACCTCTTGCAAAGATGAAGGGAAACCGTCATCAGTTCTGCGGAGCAGTCCCTTGAGAGAGACGTTTATAAATGTGGATTCAAGATGTTGTGCCCCAAGGGTACCACATTTCCTGTGGGTGTACATACACAGCAAGACTAATTCAGCCTCTACAGTAATGGAGATGCTTGCACTCTTGACTCTGACCCCACTGGTTGCTCCCTCTGAGGGGTAGCTTGACTCAAACATTTCTGTTTGAAATCTACTTCAGTATTTCCTGTTACACACCCACTGTCATGACAACTAGGAAGCATTTGTTACAACACAATGTGCCCTTTTCTCCTGGGAATGCTTCTGGGGAAACTTAGTTCAAATCAGAACAGGCTCACAAAGGAAAAGCCTGCTGTAGGTGTGAGTTATGTTCTCCTACCACCAATTTTAACATGGTCAGAAGTGTTTGTAGAGAGTGGCCCTTCTGGATTCCTCCCTCATTTTTCATGTCTTGTACCAAAGAGTTG